GAAAGCTAGAATTATAGAGAAAGTAAAGTATAAAGGTACAGCAAGATTTGATTAGAAAAAGCTTTTTGGATTTTTATACAAAATTATAGTCAAGTGATAACATAAAGGGTTTTGACATAGATAAATATTTACAATCAGTACATTTTCCTAAACTCTCAGAGGAACAACAAAATGGGATGAATAGCTTAATTACTGTGGAGGAAATTGGTTTAGCTATTAAGCAGTTAAAGGTTGGAAAGTCTCCTGGAACAGATGGACTGACTTCGAGGTATTATAAGATTTTATCTGAAGAAATGATGGGGCCATTAAAGGAACTCTTTAACAGTATTTTGTTGGGTATGCAAGTTCCTCCTTCTTGGAAAAGAGCTTTTATATCATTGATTCCGAAGGAAGATCAGGATCTTACAGAGCCTAAGAATTATAGGCGAATTTCATTATTAAATGTTGATTATAAGATTTTTAAAAAAATTCTGGCAAATAGACTAATGCAGGTTATCAAAGATTTAATAATAATAATAATAATAATAGTAGTAAAGTTGGAAGGGACCTTGGAGGTCATCTAGTCCAACCCCCTGCTCGGGCAGGAAACCCTACACCATTTCGGACAAATGGCTGTCCAGTCTCTTCTTAAAAACTTCCAGTGTTGGAGCATTTACTGCTTCTGGAGGCAAGCTGTTCCACTGATTAATTGTTCTCACTGTCAGGAAGTTTCTCCTTAGTTCTAGGTCAGCGGTTCTCAACCTATGGGTCGCGACCCCATTTGTGGTCGATCGACCATTTTTGGGGGGTCGCCAAAGGTGGCGATCCGCCATTTTTCGCGGCGCCGTGCACATGAGCCGCGCATGGGGGCGCGCCGTGCACGCATGCGCGCTGCGCATGGGGGCGTCGCGCATGCGTGTCGTGCATGGGGGCAGTGCCGCGCATGCACGCTGCGCATGGGGGCCCTGCCCCCATGTGCACAGTGCCACGCATGCGCAGAACGTTTGTGTGACGGGGTCGCCGTCACACAAACGTTGAGAAGCACTGTTCTAGGTTGCTTCTCTCCTTGATTAGTTTCCACCTGTTGCTTCTTGTCCTGCCTTCGGGTGCTTTGGAAAATAGCTTAATTCCCTCTTCTTTGATTCATAGTGATCAAGCAGGATTTATAACAGGGAGATATATGAAACATAATGTTAGACAAATTATTAATTTAATTGAGTACTTGGATAAGAATAACCAGATTATTGTGGCTTTTATCTTTTTGGATGCTGAAAAAGCTTTTGATCAATTAGACTAGCAATTTTTATTTTTATTGGTAGAGAAAATAAATTTTGGGGATAATTTTTTACATGCACTTAAAGCTATATATCAGCAGCAATCTGCACAAATTGTTGTAAATGGGGGACTGACTGAGAATTTTAATATTCAAAAAGGGACAAGACAAGGATGTCCATTATCCCCATTGTTATTTGTTTTAACATTGGAAATTTTATTGATTCAGATTCGGGAATCAAAGTTAATCAAGGGTGTAAAGATAAGGAAGAATGAGTATAAATTGCGGGCATTCGCGGATGATTTGGTTTTAATTTTGGAACAACCGAATCAAGCGATTGATGGTTTATTAGAACTTATAACACAGTATGGGAATGTTTCTGGTTTTAAAGTTAATAACTATAAGACCAAGATATTATCTAAGAATATGTCAGTTAAGGACAGGGAAAGTTTGATTAAAGCCACAGGTTTTCAGATGGTAAAAAAGGTTAAATATTTGGGAGTATATCTAACTGCTTCAAATGGAAAATTGTATAAGAACAATTATGAACCATTATGGGCAAAAGTTCAGAAGGACTTAAGAGATTGGAAAAAATTGCAATTGTCATTGTTGGGGAGAATTTCAGCTGTAAAAATGAATGTTCTACCAAAGTTTCTTTTTTTGTTTCAGATGATACCTATTCTTTAAAAAGAGGCAAATTTGGAGGAATGGCAAGGGTATCAATAATTTTATATGGGCCGGGAAGAAACCAAGGGTTAAGTTTAAGATATTACAGGATGCTCGAGAAAGAGGGGGACTTAAGGCACCTAATTTGAAATTATATTATGATGCAGCCGCCTTAACTTGGTTAAGTGATTGGCTTAACTTAACAAATATGGATATTCTTTTTTTGGAAGGTTGGGATTTAATATATGGTTGGCATGCATACTTAATTTTTAATAAGAAAGTCGATCGGACTTTTAAATCACATATTTTGAGGAATGCTTTACTTCGTGTATGGAAAAAGTATTATTATAGATTAAATTATAAAATACCTATCTGGGGGATTCCCAAACATGCAATTGAGGGAACTTCTAAGGGGACAAATTTTGATAAAATCTCATATAAAGAATTGTTAATTTGCTCTGGTTCGAATTGGCATTTGAAATCCCTAGATGTATTAAGGCAGGAAAATATTCTACAGTCATGGTTTCAATATTTACAAATAGTGGACAGATGGACTGTAGATAAAAAAGAGGGAATAACATTAGAAGATAGACAATTGGTTATTCAGATTAAAAAATCAAAATCCGGCTCATATAAAAAGAATATACAATGTTTTATTAGAGTTAGACTCGGAAACAGAATTGGTTAAAGATTGTATGATTAAATGGGCTCAGAATATACAGGAACCGATCTCATTGGATTTATGGGAGACAATTTGGACAAGAAATGTTAAATTTACACAAGCTCAAAACTTGAGAGAAAATTTTTATAAAATGTTTTATAGATGGCATTTAGATCCTAAAAAAATATCTTGTATGTATTCCAATATACAGCCCAAATGTTGGAGATGTGGCAATAATGATGCGACATACTTTCATATTTGGTGGAATTGTAAAAAAGTAAAGGCTTTTTGGATTATGATTTGGTGGAACATTCAAAAGATTTTTAGAAGAAAGATAAAGTTTACTCCTCAACTATTTTTACTTGGTATTTTCGTTGACTTAAATGAAAAAGAAACTACTTTGATGTTGAATTTATTAACTGCAGCAAGGTTATTAGTAGGTTTATATTGGAAGAAAGATTCCTTGCCTACTTTAGAAGAATGGATATTTAAAGTATCTAGTTTTGCAGAAATGGCAAAAATTTCTGCTTATTTAAAGGATCATACACAAGAAAGATATATTATTGTATGGGGAAGGTGGATAGATTATATTCAGAAAAAGTATGGCATTAAAAAGTTTCATTTATTTTATGAATGAATATTAAATATTATATAGAATTGTTTTATAGGTTATGGAGTTAAAGGTTAATTATGACAATTTTTTTTCTCTTTTCTTTTTTTCTTTTTTCTTTATTATTATAAATTTTGTTATTATTAACCCTGTATTCTGCTCTGGGAAGTGAAGGGAGGGGGGTTGGGGGTGGGAGGGAGGGTAAGGGGGGGTAAAGGTAGTATAGACAATGGTTGCTTATGAATTTTTTTTTCTTACTTTAAAATCTTATTGTATTTTTATAAATGTTTGTATGTTAAAAAATAAAAAAAATTCAATAAAAAATAAATAAAAAAATAAGCAAACAAAAAAAAAACAAAAAACAGAATCTTGTGTAGAAGTAGGTTACCTCCTATGCACAGGGACATGGGAAAATGGTAAATGGTGGTCTGGAATCAATGAGACCACTGCTATGGATCGTTATGCCCTTACTAACATACCTGGGATGCCCTATCTAAAAGACCCCACAAATACCAGTCTCCATTGGTTAGCCCCAGATGGAATGTACTGGATTTGCGGAAAAATGGCATACGGGCAACTACCTAAGAACTGGTGTGGATCTTGTGTATTGGGAATAATTTGACCAGGATTTTTCCTGTTACCATTAAAAACTGAGCAAATTCTTGGAGTCCCTGTATATGATGAAATTGGCAAGACAAAAAAGGGAACCAAGTGCATACACCCAATGCGCAGGAATCACTTGGCAAAAGAATGAATGGCCACCTTGTTGCATCATTCTAGTCTATGGCCCGGCTACTTGGGCTGAGGATGGGATGTATGGCTACTGTACCCCTATTTATATGATCAACAGGATCATGAGGTTACAAGCGGTGATAGAGTTAATCATCAATGAGACTGTGAAGGGACTAACTGAATTGGCTAAAGAAAATGTGAAATCCAGAACATATATCATGCAAAATAGGTTAGCCCTGGACTATCTTTTAGCCAAAGAAGGAGGGGCATGTGGAAAATTCAATCTAACAAACTGTTGCATCGAAGTAGATGAAAGTGGAAAAGTATTGAAAGGCATAACAGACCAAATGATCAAGTTAGCACACGTTCTAGTGCAAACCTGGAACGGATTTAACTTGGAAGACGTATTTTCAGGATGGTGGCCAAAGTTACCAGGCCTACAAACCATCATAGTTATAGTAGCATTGTTAATTCTAGGATGTATTTTAATTCCTTGCTTACTCCCGTCTTATAGCCATGATTTGGAGGATCTCAGAAAGTACAGCCCAATTAACTGCAAAACATGAAACAATGTTAGCCTTGTGGGAATATAAAATAGTACCTTCAAGAGATCCTGAATCAGAGGTAGAATGGAAGTTTAAGCTAGAAAACTTCCAAAGGGGGGAGTAAAGTGGGAAAGAAATAGAATAACATAGAATAAAGAATAATAATAATAATAATGAAAAATCACTAAAAGCAAAAATCATGTGTCTGCATAATTTCTGAAAGAAAGCAGTGTTAGCCAAAAGCTGTATTAACAGTACGTGAATGACCTAATGCATATTTAGAAACATTGTTTAAAAGTAAAAACTGCCTTCATTGTATTCCCATGAGAAATGGACCTAACGTGTGAGAAACTATCTGAATGTTACAAAATAGATTCCATATACAATGTAAGATTCCATCTATGCTTCCTTTGTTCCTGAGAAAAAGAAACCTATAAAGCTTTAGTTTAGACCCGCCCCCTTGTTCAGAAATTTGCTGATTGTAAATCACTTCTGAAGCTTTGTGCAAAAATAAAAACCTCTCTTTCACCGTGGGAATTCGTAAAAGTCCTTTATTTTTTTAAGGCTTTTATTTTTCCAAAAGATAACTGCTTGTGCATGCTCATACACCCTAGTTTTTAATCTTTTTGTGCCCTCACCAACATAGTTACAGGAACAGTCCTTACACTTGATCTTATAAATTATTGCAGATTTTTCTTCATTGGGGAGTGGATAGTTTGGGTGCATGATCTTAGATCGTAGAGTTTGATCTGGTTTATGGGCCACTTTTACATTAAAGGGAGCCAGTAATCTAGCTGTTGCCTCTGATACACCATTAATGTATGGGAGGGAGATACGCACATTTTGTGTTGTCGTCCTGTCAGTTTCTTGCAAGTTTTTGCAGGATCTGTACGGCTTACTGTACTTCCTAATGAATCCAGTAGGGTAACCATTATACTTGGAGGTCCGAAATAGATGATTCCTTTCCTCAATTTTGGTCCTGGTTGTACTGCAGTGTGAATCGATACGTTTGAACAATGTTCTTATATAGCTGATTTTATGGGCCACTAGATGGTTGCTCCCATAATGGAGGGTCCTATTGGTATGGGTCGGTTTACGATACACTTTTGTGCGTAGGGTCCCATCCAGTTGACGTTGGACCAACACATCCAGAAAGGCTAACGTACCCTGGTTCTCTTCCTCTGCTGTAAAGCGGATATCTGAGTACACAGAGTTTAGCGCCTCCATAAAATCAGCCTTATGTTGTTTCTTAATAACTACAAACGTATAGTCCACATATCGGACTCAAAATTTGGGGTGGAACTGAGACATCACCATGGTTTCCAAACGTTGCAGAACGGCTTCTGCCACTATGCTTGAGATAGGGGTTCCCATAGGTGTTCCTTTGACCTGCTCGTATAAGGTCCCTTGGAAAGTAAGATACATTTTTAAACATAATGTTGTTAATTTCACTAGGTCGTCAGTATATAGGGAATCTTGATGTCGTCCTTGTCCCATTTCATTAAGGCCGTCTCTTAAGGTCGTGACTGCCAAGTCCTGCGGGATGGAGGTAAAGAGTAAGGTGACGTTAAAAGATATCATCACCTCATCCCCCTCCACCTTTAGGAACTTGACTTTTTCTAGAAATTCCAAGCCGATCTCACTGATTACCATCTACCACATGGCTGATGCGGCTACTCAGCCACCTGGCTAACTCTGAGGTTGGTGTGCCTTTGAATGAGACAATTGGACGTAGGGGAGCCCCTTCTTGATGAACCTTTGATAAGCCATAGAACCTGGCTATGGCCGAATCCCTCGGGCGTATTTTCCTCAGAGTGTTTTCATCCATTACTTTACAGTGTTTGAAATTATCCAAAAGTTTGTTTATACTATTTTTGAGCGTGGTCATGGGGTCTCTGGTAATGGTTCTGTATGCCGTTGTGTCACTGAGTAATGACAGGGCTTTATCGGTGTATTGTGTTTTGTCCATAACTACCGTCACCCTGCCTTTATCCGCTAGCAGAATGATAGTATGGTCTTTTCTAAGTTGTTCTAAAGCCTCTTTTTCGCCCCTGGATAATATTTGATACCCTTTGTGACCTAGTAGCAAACCTGTGATTCTTTGTCTAACAGAATTTTTGATCTCGTCACCCACCCCAATCTGTTGTTCAGCAGGATCCAATGCTGCCAAAAAATCCAATGGTCGTGCATCCGCCAAATTATGTCCCACATCCCGTTCAAGCAGGGTTATCTGTTCCTGGGTCAACACTTTAGAGAATATGTTATGAACTAACCCCTTGGTGTAATCACAGTCCTCCAACATCTATAACGTTTTCAACTTGTGTTGGAGTGTCGTGGTTGTCTGGCAGCTTGCCCTCATAGTGGCTTGATGAATCTGGCGGTAAAGTGCAACGAAGTGCTGGTACGTTAATTAAATGTTGCAGCACTCATGATAGTCTTGGACCCGTGTCTTACAAACCTCTATCCGCCTATGTTGGTCATTGATTAGAGCTAACGTTTCTCCATGATTGCATCTGAGGAGACCTCCCCATTAAATCTTTGAGAAGGAGATCTATAACTGATTCTATGGAGTGGCAAATGGCCATCTGCCAATTTCAGTATCGCTCACTCCGTGCTCTAATCAACAACCAAGGGACCTCACATTAACAAACCCATTCTGGCTTGTTACAACTACCCATCATTTCTGTTTCTCCAGAAGCATTTGTGGAAACAGAAGTTTACTTTAATTAAATAACTTGTGAAATTCTCAGACTTTTAAAAGAAGGAATAAAATCAGGGGGGACAGGACCCAGAAGAACCAAGAGGGATCACAGGCACCTTCAAACGCCCAGAGTGTCACACCCAGGATGAGCTTTCAGACTAAGCAGCCGACATATTCTTACGTTAAAGAAATTCATTCCCAACATTTTTTGAACATTTGTGTCTACTCATTGTTGCCATCCACGGGGACCTGAACTTCCATGATGTCTATCGAATCTGGTTCAGAATTTGGAAAATCATCAGGGAAATCAGAGAGATCTTCTGTGATTCTTTCATGTTCAAAGGCTACAATCCGACTGAAAAAACAAATGGCTGTTTTAGAGAGAAACCATAGCTTAGTTGTCCAGTTTGAAATGTCCTAATTTCCCCATAAGACTGGCAATGACGGAGAAGATAATCGCTGAATCTGAGAAGGATGCCAATCAAAACATATCCAGTTAGCCATTCTAATTTTTTAAACTGTGCCTAATGAATTGCTGTATTTTCATAGAATTTAGGACTAGGGCAGATAGCAATGCAACAATAAATTACGAGGCAGAAGCCTAACTGCAGCTCACGTCATCAGAGGCAGAGAGTGGTGGGACTGATGTATGATTGAAACTGAAATTTTAAATTTTAAATTTATCAATGAAGAGGGACGGGAAGCTGAGTAAAACAGATTACTTAGAGATGCAGATTGCACAAGAGACAGATTACAAATTAACAATCGTATGTGTTAGAAACCCACCGTATGTATCACTGAGCAAGAGTTGGGTAATGAGCTTCACATTATCTTTTTATTATTAAATTCATTCATTATTAAACAATCACTGCCCATCTCGCCGTTTGAGGCAACTCTGAGCGACTTCCCTTGACCTAATGTCCATAGCAACACTGAAAATACCCATTTTTTCCCCTTATCAGCAATGAAGCCTTTTCAACTGTATTTTTCCCCTCAAGTTAGGTAGCAAAACAGAGAGGTTTGTCTCTCTTCTGCGTGACAGTATGGCCAAATGACAGCTGCTTCCACAAGTCCACCGCATGGGACGGCTGCCAGGGCCCACTGAAAATAACGGCTGCTTCCAGGACACAGTCCCAAGGGCCAGGGATGCACGCCCTCCCCTCCTTCCCCAACGTTAGGATCAGAAATCTTAGAAAGAGGAGGGTGTGAGGCGTGAGAGCAGAGGGTGGAGGAGGCCTAGAGATGCCTACAACAGGCAAACCTGGGCCTGCACTAAGCCTCCAATAGCTTCCCCCAACCCTGAGGTAGCCAGTGATCCACTTAGTGACTGACACATTCAATTAATGGCTGCATCAGAGATAGGGTAGTTTAGGAAACAAATCTCACTTAACAGCTGTTGCAACATGCAACCATAATTGCAAGGCCCATGACAGTTAGATCTTGAGGACCTTTTCTATGCTGGCTGAGGAATTCTGGGCCTCAAAATCTGGAGGAAGCCAAGGTAAAAGACGTGAAACTCTACATGTGGGAATTATATAATCAATATGGGAATTATATAATCAATATTCAAAACTACCACCCAGAAGCCTTTTTGATGAAATCCACAACTTATACAAAAGGAAATATCCAGTAGCTGCTGCTGCTAAGCAGAAATTGGCAGTTAGCCCTCTTCCATTTTCCTTTTCTCTCCACCTACAAGTCTAGTCCTGAGACATGTTTGAATAAAAAGATTCAGACTACAAGTCAAATAGTCAATGTCTCAACTACAGTTTCAATGGGAGATCACAAATGAATTTCAAGCCTTTTCTAAATTCTTCAACTTTTGCCTCATGTGGATTTCCTCATGTGCAATAAGGAATGATTTATGAGTGAAGTAACGTCCACAGACTGGACATTTGAAAGACTTCTCCCCCGTGTGAGTCCTCTAGTATCTCAACAGGATGGAATTCTCAATGAAATCTTTCCCACAATCAGGACATTCAAACATTTTCTCTCCTGTGTGAGTCCTCTGGTGCGTCACGAAGTGGGAATTCTCACTGAAACTTTCCCCACAGATAGGACATTCAAATGTTTTCTCTCCTGTGTGAGTCCTCTGGTGTGTCACAAGGCTGTAATTCTCACTGAAACTTTTCCCACAGCCAGGACATTCAAAGGATTTCTCTCCTGTGTGAGTCCTCTGATGTTTCACTAGGTTGGATTTCTGACTAAAACCTTTCCCACAATCAGGACATTCAAAGGGTTTCTCTCCTGTGTGAGTCCTCTGGTTTTTCACCAGGCTGTATTTCTGACTGAAACTTTTCCCACAATCAGGACATTCAAAGGGTTTCTCTCCTGTGTGAGTCCTTTGGTGTCTCAAGAGTTTGCAATTCAGACTGAAACTTTTTCCACAATCAGGACATTCAAAGGGTTTCTCTCCTATGTGTGTAGTCTGATGTCTCACCAGGTTGGAATAGCGACTGAAACTTTCTCCACAACAAGGACATTCAAAGGATTTCTCTCCTGTGTGAGTCCTCTAGTATCTCAACAGGATGGAATTCTCACTGAAATCTTCCCCCAAAATCAGGACATTCAAAGGGTTTCTCTCCTATGTGAGTCCTCTGGTGTGTCGTGATCTGGGAATTCTGATTGAAACTTTTCCCAAAATCAGGACATTCAAAGGAATTCTCTCCTGTATGAGTCCTCTGGTGTGTCACCAAGTTGGACTCGTGATTGAAGCTTTTCCCACAATCAGGACATTCAAAGGGTTTCACTCCCGTGTGAGTCCTTTGGTGTCTCAAGAGCTTGTCATTCTCACTGAAACGTTTCCCACAATCAGGACATTCAAAGGGTTTCTCTCCTGTGTGAGTCCTCTGGTGTTTCACCAGCCTGTATTTCTGACTGAAACTTTTCCCACAATCAGGACATTCAAAGGGTTTCTCTCCTGTGTGAGTCCTCTGGTGTTTCACCAGCCTGTATTTCTGACTGAAACTTTTCCCACAATCAGGACATTCAAAGGGTTTCTCTCCTGTGTGAGTCCTCTGGTGCACCACCAGGTAGGAATTGCAACTGAAACTTTTTCCACAATCAGGACATTCAAAGGGTTTCTCTCCTGTGTGAGTACTCTGATGTCTCACCAAGTTGGAATAGCGACTGAAACTTTTTCCACAACAAGGACATTCAAAGGATTTCTCCCCTGTGTGAGTCCTCTGGTGTTTCATAAGGCTGGAATTCTCACTGAAACCTTTCCCACAGCCAGCACATTCGAAGGGTTTCTTTCCTGAGTGAGTCCTCTGGTGTTTCACTAGGCTGGATTTCTGACTGAAACTTTTTCCACAATCAGGACATTCAAAGGGTTTCTCTCCTGTGTGTGTACTCTGATGTCTCACAAGGCTGAAATTCTCACTGAAACTTTTCCCACAATCAGGACATTCAAAGGGTTTATCTCCTGTGCGAGTCCTCTGATGTTTCACCAGGCTGGATTTCTGACTGAAACCTTTCCCACAATCAGGACATTCAAAGGGTTTCTCTCCTGTGTGAGTACTCTGATGTCTCACCAGATTGGAATAGCGATTGAAACTTTTTCCACAACAAGGACATTCAAAGGGTTTCTCTCCTGTGTGAATCCTCTGGTGTTTCACAAGGCTGGAATTCTCACTGAAACTTTTCCCACAATCAGGACATTCAAATGGTTTATCTCCTGTGTGAGACCTCTGGTGTCTCACTAGGTAGGAATTCTCACTAAAACCTTTCCTACAATCAGGACATTCAAAGGGTTTGTCTCCTGTGTGAGTACTCTGGTGTGTCACAAGGCTGGAATTCTGACTGAAACTTTTTCCACAACAAGGACATTCAAAGGGTTTCTCTCCTGTGTGAGTCCTCTGATGTTTCACAAGGCTGGAATTCTCACTGAAACTTTTCCCACAACCAGGACATTCAAATGGTTTCTCTCCTGTGTGAATCCTCTGGTGTCTCACTAGGTAGGAATTGCAACTGAAACCTTTCCCACAATCAGGACATTCAAAGGGTTTCTCTCCTGTGTGAATCCTCTGATGTATCACCAGCTGGGAATTCCAACTGAAATCTTTCCAACAATCAGGACATTCAAAGGATTTCTCCCCTGTGTGAGTCCTCTGGTGCATCACTAGCTTGGATTTCTGACTGAAACCTTTCCCACAATCAGGACATTCAAAGGTTTTCTCTCCTGCGAGAGTCCCCTGTTGTGTCATGAGATTGGAATTGTGGGTGTAACATTTCCCACAATCAGGACATTCACAGGGTTCCTCTCTTGTGTGAGTCCCCCCTGGTGTGTCACCAGATTGGAATTTTGGCTGTAACATTTCCCATAATCAGGACATTCAGAGGGTTTCTCTCCTGTGTGAGTACTATGTGCATAATCAGTTGTGATTTGCAATCTGTGCTTTTACAACAAGAGACACAAGTACGGAGCTTTTCCACAGCTGATATTCTTGAGGAAGTCAAAAATATGGACAATCCCTTGTTTAGTGATGCTTTCGTTCAATCCGTTTTCTTCCTCACAGGGCGAGGCCTGCATGGCTCTCTGCTCTACTGACTTTCCTACTCACCTTTCCCTCCAACTGACTTCCAGATATTTCCTTATTTTACTGAATGAAAAATAATCTCCCTTCACTTTTCATGTAATGTATCCTTGAGTTCTGAAAAATCTACTTATTCCAGTTTGAAATCTTTCTTGATTTTCTCTCTTTTTTTCTAAGAGCTGCTGGAGGAGTGGGAGAATTGTGTGGTTTTCTGAAGGAAACAGAAAATATTTTGATTTCTGGCTTGGTTTGCTTTCCTTTTCAATGTTGCTTGTTATTCATAGCTGTCCAGAGGGCTCTTCTTCCCATCCTCTTTTCTATAAGATTTAAAGAAAAGTGTAACTTTAATATTTATAAAATGGTGAAACATATGAAAAAAGAAAAAAAGTATACATTACAATGATAAAGCAAACATGCCAAAACGATGGAATAATCTCTTACATTGTTTATTATTCATCTGATACATGGAAGACTATTGACATCCATGTTCAAATATCCATTCAATCAAATTCAGTTGTTGATTTGGGTAAACTTTCTTGTTGACTTCGGTCAATCATAAATCCTTAGGAACACAAAAGGTTATCATCAAATATATCTGGAAGTGATGGGGATAGATTATATAATTCCAGATATATGCATACAGAGAGAAATATAGACACACACCTACAAATGTGTATATGGAGAAAATCTATGTCTTTCAATCCTGGAAAAATGTCTCAAAATAATTTACAGTCAAAGCTTTTGAGGTAATTTTAGAAATGTGGCGGCTTTAATTGATGGATAAAGAATAACAGAGTTGGAAGGGACCTTGAAGGAAGAAGGAAGAATTATAATGGTGGAAATCACGATAAATAAAAAAATTGTTGATTATGGCAATACATGCACCAAACAATAAACACAGAAAAATATTGGAAATGGAATATCAAATATTTGTTTAGTAGGCTTTAATGCAATTATGAATGAAAAATTAGATTACAAAAGTAGTCAAATAGGGAAAAAAGGAAGAAAGAGATTATCTAAGATGTTTGTTAAAATGGCAGAAGAAATCTGCGAACAGAATGTCTGGAGAGAAATGAACCCAAAAAAGACTCAGTATACATTTTATTCAAATAGACACAAATCATGGTCTAGAATTGATATGATATAGATGTCCCCTAAATTAAGAACTAATATACATGAGAACCAAATATTTGGGCTGACCATAATCCGATGAAGCTGAGTTGAGCAGGAGTAAAGATGAAATCAAGGTGGACATGGAATCAACTCTTATCAAAGGAGAAAGAATTTCAGAAATAGCAGTAAAGGAAATGGAATTCTTTTTCAAAGAAAATAAAAAAGAAGACATTTCATTTCAATACATATGGAATACAACCAATGCATACTTTGGAGGATTAGCTATAACTTATACGGTTGAAAAGAATAAAGAGAAAAAGCAAGTGTACTACGCTAAGGGAAGAGTTGAAAATATTGGAGCTAGAACTTCAAAAAGATCCACAAAAAAATCTTCTTAAAAGATAAATGGAGATAATTAAACATGAACTAAACCTAATAGAGTCAGAAGAATTCACTCAACAAATGAAAAGAGCAAAAGAATTTTTTTCGAAAATGTAAATAAACTGGGAAGATTGATGGCTTATAAATTGAAAAAAGAAAGAGAAAAAAGTTGATAAACAAACTGCAAGATGAGAAGGGAGATATGTAACTCCAAAATGAGGCAATAAAAAAATAGTTAAAGAATATTATGAAAAACTATAGACAATAAAAATGATAAAACTCCAGGATGGGGATGGGCTACCTGCAGAGTTCTATAAATGCTTTCAAGATATATAATAATAATAGTAGTAAAGTTGGAAGGGACCTTGGAGGTCATCTAGTCCAACCCCCTGCTCGGGCAGGAAACCCTACACCATTTCGGACAAATGGCTGTCCAGTCTCTTCTTAAAAACTTCCAGTGTTGGAGCATTTACTGCTTCTGGAGGCAAGCTGTTCCACTGATTAATTGTTCTCACTGTCAGGAAGTTTCTCCTTAGTTCTAGGTTGCTTCTCTCCTTGATTAGTTTCCACCCGTTGCTTCTTGTCCTGCCTTCAGGTGCTTTGGAAAATAGCTTAATTCCCTCTTCTTTATGGCAGCCCCTGAGATATTGGAATACTGCTATCATGTCCCCCCTTGTCCTTCTCTTCGTTAAACTAGACATACCCAATTCTAGCAACCGTTCCTTATATGTTTTAGCCTCCAGTCCCCTAATCATCTTTGTTGCTCTTCTCTGTACTCTTTCTAGAGTCTCAACATCTTTTTTACATCGTGGTGACCAAAACTGGATGCAGTATTCCAAGTGTGGCCTTACCAAGGCATTGAAGAGTGGTATTAATACTTCACGTGATCTTGATTCTATCCCTCTGTTAATGCAGCCTAGCACTGTGTTGGCCTTTTTGGCAGCTGCAGCACACTGCTGGCTCATATTTAGGTGATTGTCTACTAGGACTCCGAGGTCCCTCTCACAGTTACTACTATTGAGCATGGTGCCACCTATGCTGTACTTGTGCATTTGGTTTTTCTTGCCTAAATGTAGAACCTTGCTTTTTTCACCATTGAATTTCATTTTGTTAGTTAGTGCCCAGTGTTCAAGTCTGTCCAGATCCTTCTGTATCTTAAGCCTGTCTTCTGGAGTGTTGGCTATTCCTGCCAGCTTGGTGTCGTCTGCAAATTTGATGAGTTCCCCATCTATCCCTTCATCCAAATCGTTGATGAAGATGTTGAAGAGTACTGGGCCCAGAACAGAGCCCTGGGGCACCCCACTACACACTTCCCTCCATATAGATGCAGTTCCATTGAGGACCACTCGCTGAGTACGGCCGGTCAGCCAGCTACGGATTCATCTGGTGGTGGTTCTGTCTACCCCACATTTTTCTATCTTGTCAAGTAGTAGGTTGTGATCTACTTTATCAAATGCCTTACTGAAGTCCAAGTAAATTATGTCCACAGCATTCCTCTGATCCACTAATTTTGTCACTTGGTCAAAGAATGCAATAAGATTTGTCTGGCATGATCTATTTTTGACAAACCCATGTTGGCTTTTAGTAATGACTTTGTTTGCCTCTAGGTGTTTGTTGATTCGTTGTTTGATTATCTTTTCCAGGATCTTCCCAGGTATTGAGGTCAGGCTGATAGGTCTGTAATTTCCTGGATCCATTTTTTTTCCTTTTTTGAGGATGGGAACTACATCAGCTCTTTTCCAGTCCTCTGGTAGTTCCCCTGTGTTCCAGGATCTTTGAAAAATATAGTTCAGTGGCTCCGATATCACATCTGCCAGTTCCTTGAGAACTCTGGGGTGTAATCCATCTGGTCCTGGCGATTTGAACTCATCTAGGCTGGACAGGTGCTCCCTAACCATTTTCTTGCCTATCTTAACTTGTGTTTCTGTTTTGTTTTTTATGGCACTATTTTTGATAGGTTGGTCTGTTTTTTCCCTTTGTGTAAAGACAGATGCAAAAAATGAGTTAAATAGTTCTGCTTTCTCCCTGTTGCTTGTCACCTTCTTGCCACTTTCACCCACTAATGGACCAATCATTTCCTTCACTTTTTTCTTGTTTTTTACATGTTGAAAGAAGCTTTTTTTGTTATTTTTGACTTTGGTCGCAAGCCTTAGTTCATTTTGAGCCTTGGCTTTCTTCACTTCATCTTTGCAGGCTCGGGCTATTTGCTGATATTCTGACTTAGTTATGTTCCCCTCTTTCCACTTTCTATACTTGTCCTTTTTATCTTTCAATTTGTCAGAGAGTTCTTTATGCAGCCATGCTGGTTTCTTTTGAGAGCTGTTGTTTTTCCTCTTTGTTGGTATTGTGCTAGACTGTGCTTTTATTATCTCATTTTTCAAAATTTCCCAAGCTTCTTGAGTTGTTTTCCCCTTGAGGATTCTCATCCATGGAATCCTTCCCAAGCCCTCTCTAAGTTTATTGAAATTAGCTCTCTTGAAGTCCAAGACTCTAGTTTGACTGTGTTCTATTGGTTGTGCTTCTATAATGTTGAATTCTAATATTGCATGATCACTTCCTCCCAGGGTTCCTATGGCTTCAACACCGTCTATCATTTCATCTCTGTTAGTGAGAATTAGATCCAAAATGGCTAATCCCCTAGTTCCCTTCTCTACTTTTTGGGAGACAAAGTTGTCTGCTAGGTTTGCCAGGAACCTGTTTGATCTTCCACTTGGTGCGGAGTTTGTCTCCCAGTTGATGTCAGGGTAGTTAAAGTCCCCCATTACTATTGTGATGTGCTTCCTACATACCTTAGTTAGCTGACTAGCAAAAAGTTCATCTATTTCCTCTGTTTGGTTGGGTGGTCTGTAGTATACACCTATGGCAATGTCATTTCCCCCCCCCCTTTTATATTGACCCAAATGCATTCAAGACAGTTTTTATCATTGTTGTACTCTATTTCTGTGGAGATGTAGTTATTTCTTATATAGAGAGCAACTCCACCTCCTCTTTTATTTGGTCTGTTTCTTTTAAATAATTTAAATCCCTCTAGCTGTGTGTTCCATGTGTGAGTTTCATCCCACCATGTTTCCGTAATGGCAACAATATCGTATCTGCCCTCATTAACCTTAATTTCTAGTTCACCCTGTTTGCTGTTCATACTCTGTGCATTGGTGTATAAACATTTGAGTCCTTTGTGGGTGGCCCTGTGTTTCCTTTCTACATAACCTGTGTGGTGCCTGAGTTCCCCTATTGTCTTACCACCTATTTGGTTAGTGCACTTTATGTGGCACTCGCTATTAGAGGCTTCATTTTGATTGATAGCAAGGTTGGTATTCTTGTCCACACACACATCTATGCTACATGCACTGATAGCCCTATAGTTTTTAAATTGCCGGGGACAGGGTTGTTCCGTATCAATTAACTCCCTGTCCCCGCTGTTTAGTTTAAATTTCCCTCCAGAAAATCTGTGAATTTATAGCCGAGTAACTCAGTCCCTTTTTTTGATGGATGCAAACCATCTCTTTTGTACATCTTTTGATTGGACCAGCTACTGACATCGTGACTAATATATCCAAAGCCTTCCCCTTTACACCACTCCTTTAGCCACATATTGAATTGTGCTATGCGCTGGCCTTTTCCGTTTTGCTCCTTATACACTGGTAAAACCTCTGAGAAAGTAAGCCTACAGCCTATTCTGCTAAGTTCCTTCCCCAAGCTCTGGAAATCATTCTGCACAGAGAGTACATCTTTTTGGGACAGATCATTAGTGCCATATTAAGCTCTCCAATGAAGGAAGCTTGTAATGAGGTACTATTAAAGGCTAAATTACCAAATACATGGA